TGATTTGATAATGGAAAAATGGTCATTTTAATGACCATTTTTCCATTATTCACTTGACAGGGGAAGAATTCGAATCTGAGATTAGCTTCAATTTACTAGTCATGAATTAATCAATAGTTAGTAATATAACAAGTAACGTGAATCGAAAATCGATTCACTCGGCCCAAGACTGACAGAACTCACACATGCAAATATATCAACAGCCCACTTCGTCGGCTATTTCCGCCACAGATCCTGAAATTTCCAAAAAGATGACTGGATAAGTTCAACCGAAACAAGGAAGACACGGCGAATAGGTGAGCGTGGGGTACCGATCAGACGAAAAGAAAAATTTTCCAAGAACAACGAAAAGAAAAACGCAGCCAAAATAAGCGTGAAATACAGGTGCGAAACAGTGATTGAGCCACGATTTTGCTTCTGAAAGAGGGAGGACTCTCAGCCTCCTGACTGATGGAATACACTGTTAGCAGTTCGCGTTAGAAGGCTTAAATATATTTGAGAGGGGAAAGAGGTTGAGTTTCACCTAACAACTGGATCACACCGTTCAAAAATTTAGCGATGGAGGCATCAAAGTTCCTTATAAAAACTCCGGCTGCCCCCTACATCTGTACTGTCTTTGGAAGTGACTACTCCTCGTGGCTCTTAAGTGAATCTACCAACAATGTATGCCATGAAACTGGTCATTTGTACCATAACAACGGTCATTAGTGCCATTACAGCAGTCATTTTGTGCCGTAGAAATGACCGTTTATACCATGAAATTGGTCATTTGTGCCATAGAAATGGTGATTCGTGTCACAGAAGTAGTCGATTGTGCCATAAAAATGGTCATTTGGGCCATAGAAATAGTCATTTGTGCCATGAAATTGGCCGTTGGTGCAATGGGAATGGTCATTTGTGTCACAGACTTGGTCATTCGTCTCACAGAGATAGTCAATTGTGCCATAAAAATGATCATTTGTGCCATCAAAATGGTCATTTGTACCATAGAAATGGCCACTTCTACCATGTAAATAGTCGTTTCTGCCATAGAAATGGTCATTTGTGGCATGTAAATAGTCAATTGTGCCATAAAAGTGGTCATTTGTGTCATAGAAATGGTCATTTGTACCATAAAATGGTCATTTGTACCATGAAAATGGTCGTTTGTGCCATTGTTACAGACAGACAGACAGACACTGGTGAATTACGGTTTCTAGACCCTATCATTTCAGTCTAGGGAAATTGTTTAAAAAGTTTAGTCAGGTCGTTGTGTAGAAGGAGAAATCCAAAGCAAGGGTTACTTTTGAGTTTTTGCTGTAGTAATTGGTTATTAGCTTTTTCATTACTCTTTTATTCTTTTAAAAACTTGACCAAAAAAGTCGAGCAATGGCGAATCCGAATCTGACATCAGTTTTATCATCACTAATTATTAATTAATTAGTAGTTAGTAGTCCGAAAATAGCGCTTATACGAGAAAGAGCTGAGCGAGTCCAGAGACGAACGTTACTTGTTCTCTTTCTTGTGTACTCGAGTCTAGCAAACATAAATTGCCTGCTTGATTGCTTGTGTGTCCACATTTCATTGATTGATCGAAAAAGCGCATAATTGAGACGTAACTCCATCGCAGTCAAGACTTGACCAAAGGTAATCTGAGGCGATGAGTTCTAATCGAGTATCTATTTCCATCGAAATCCTATTGGTCAGTCGGGGACCAATAGAAATCGGGTTCTCTCATTAAGGCTTTTTTTAGAGGCGGTTTGATGCGGAGAGTCCGAATACGGAATTTGTTTCCTTAGACATATTATTGCTCAATCACGAACCAATAGGAATCAAGTTTTTCGATGAACAGTCTTTTAAGGGTAGTCTGGTGCGTATAAGTTGAATCTGACCATTATTCATCTCGAAGTTCTATCTGGAGCTCAGGGGCTGATAGAAACCTAACTGGCAGAGATATGTTTCATCATAGATGATTATGAGAAGGAGCTATAGCTCATGGTAGATTTTCTTCAGCACAATAATGCTTATTCAGAAATCAGCAGAGCTTGTTTCTTTTTGATCTAAGCAAACGAGTTGGAAAATAAATTCGGTGTACAATATTCACAACACATGTCACGAGAAGGAAACCTATGCAATACCGGATGTCCAAATTCTATCGTTTCTATGGTAGTCTCATGTGAGTACTACTCTCGTAGGAGATATTGAATGAGAAAGTCGATTTGAAAAGATTCATGAGTGTTAGTTGAAGAGATTACGGTTCTCCTGAATTTGGTCGAAAGTAAAAATGTCGAAGGTAAAAATGTCGAAAGTAAAAATGTCGAAAAAGAAAAATGTTGAAAAGAAAAATGTCGAAAAATAAAAATGTCGAAAAGAAAAATTTCGAAATGAAAAATGGCATTATTAAACTATCAAAATATTAGAACGTTGAAAAAAATAAGTTAAGACGTGTTCTATATCAATTCCAAAACTTTGACAGCGGATTAGACTAAATATAACATAGGTGAGATGACACTAGTGATCGATATGTATAACGATGGACATTGAGCAACCTATATTATTGGCCGATGACGTAATTGGTCAAAATAGTAAACAAGATAACTTCACAAACAACTGGACAAAAAAGTTTATATATTTTTTTTGAGCAACATCTAGTTAATCAACAAAAAAATAAACAAGTTAACCATGGCTGCAGCCCTTGAAACAACTGTTCAAAACAATATTGAAGTGAGTTTTATTACGTCCAATAAAGGTCAATTGTTGTTGGTGCTGAACAATTATATACACAAATGTAACAAAAAAACATCCATAAAAAAATATTGGTCATGTATTAACAAAAAATGTAACATGTTTGTTCCTACAGATTTAAATGATAAATATTTACATGGTGGTACAGATCAGCATTGCCATGAACCAAATCCAGAAATAATTGAAGCTAGACAAGTTTCGGCAAAAGATAAAAGAACGTGCACTTAACGAATTATTACCAGTTTCAATGATATATAAAGAAGAAGTTTCTATAGTATCTAGAAATCCAACAACTTTGGCTGTTTTACCAACTAGCCAAGAGATATGTAAGATAACAAGAAGTATAATTAGTCCAATGTTTTTTTTTCTTTTTTTCTAGATCCATCAGTTGCAAAAGCTCGACAAAAAAAAACTCCTTCATTACCACAATCGTGCTTATTTGATCTTCCAGATCATTTTAAAACAACTATTGATGGAAATAGATTTATATTATGTGATGAATCATTAGCACGACGCGAACGTATATTAGTTTTTGCGAGTGATCGTCAACTTGATCTGTTATTTGCTTCACCTATTATTTATATGGACGGAACTTTTGCCAAAAGTTCACCACATTTTACACAATATATATTATACATGCAGTTCTTTTTGATATATGTAAATGCAATATTTCTTTTTTCTTCCGTAGTCTCGTTTTTTTAAGGTTTACCATGTGCTTTCTGCTTGCTAATAAATAGAAAATCTGTGACATATCGATACATTTTCAGTGAACTTAAACAAAAGGCAACAGAACGTGGAAAAACTTTTTCGCCTCTCATGATTATAACCGATTTTGAATCTGATGTTTTGCCAGTGGTAAAAACGCAAGTTAGTAATATATGAATAAAAAAATAATTCTATTTAGTTTTCACTCTGATCTATTTCTAGTTTTCTCAGTCAAAGCATTACGGATGTTTTTTCCATTTTTGTCAAGCACTCTATCGTCAAATACAGCGTTTAGGAAAACAACAAGATTATTCGACAAATGAATCATTTTAGAGTGTTGTGCAGAAAGTTTATGGCATTAGCATTAATGCCACGTGAACATGTTGTCAGTAGCTTCCGAGAAATTCAAGCTGATGCTGATCGATTGCCTCATGGTCTTATGGAAGATTTATTGATCTATTTTGAAACAAACTGGTTAGATGATATAGATTTATGGAATGTTTCTACATCTGAAAATCGAACGAATAACGTATGCGAGGGTGAGAATCATAAATAAAATTTCCAATTTATGTTGTTTCTTTTCAAAGGTTATCCTACTAGAATGAATAGTCGTATATTTCAAAATCATCCAAATATTTGGTCTTTCATTAATTTTTTGCAAAAGGAGGAGAAAAGAATCGAATTTATCACTGTTCAGTGGGCAGCTGGTGCCACGAGAAAAAAATATTCGAACAACAATGATACAAAATCGTATTAATACTCTATATTCACGTTATTCTAATAATCTTATCAACACATCTGATCTCCTCCAAGGTTTATCATATGTCAATGCGAAAAAAACTAAATAAGACTGCAATGACTAAATTATTCGTTTATCTTTTTTTTTTTATTTTTCTTTATTAACATATAATTTTGCTGTCTGAAACATTTGCCGAATAAACTATGATTTTCTATTTCTAACACAAGAATAAAGTCCTAAATAGTGACGCAGACAAAAAAGTCGCATTACAATAACAAAATGTTCGTCTTTCAAAATTATTTTATTTCGATATTTTACATTTCTATATTTTACATTTTCTATATCCATGTTACATTCTAATTTTTTAACATTCTTTGTTTTCTACATTCTTATTTTACACATTTTTATTTTTCTACATTTTTCATTTCTACATTTTTATTTTCGACATTTTCACTTTCGACATTTTTACTTTCGACCAAATTCAGGTTTACCGAGATTACGTCTTTAACCTCTGAATACACGCTTGAAAGTTAAAGTCCGATCGCGAATGGCTTATCCACCATGAAATTGTTTTAAAGTCAATAATCAAGGTTCGACAACGACCAAATATATTCCTAGCTTACTATGCAAGATGAGAAAACTTTCTCGTTTAAATTCAAGTAGAGGAGTCAGAGAGCGACTCTTTAAAGGACCAATTTCCATGAAAACAGCATTTTTTGACTTAGGTGAAAATGATATGTTAATCTCGATCACAATACCGTTTCGCTTTTCTTATCATAAGTTTTCTTTGAGCGAAAATGAGTGAGAAAGTATGACCAGTCTTTCAATGCATAGATATACTCTACCCACGATTTATTGTACTAAAAAAGCTAACGCTAGAAAACCAAGTTGATGGATGTCATAGATTCCACGACATACTTGAGATTACTGATGCAACAAAATGTCTGTACTATTTGTGTCTTTTTCTTTATATAAAGATACTTTTAAAAAATCACTGATTTATCATGCGATATTTTTATGCAAAAGCTAAGCTTTCTAAAGCTTTGTGCATAGATGATTTGTTGAGATCCAGAATGCACTATTTCTTTGGGAAAGAGCTGAAAGAGTCCACAGACAAGCGTGGCTTGTTATTTAATTGTTAATTGATTATTAATTATGAACATTTTCAATCAAACTCGACCAATGGGTAATTATAATCGAAGAACACGTATCGGAGGTCGGATTTATCATAAATAATCAGTTTAAAAATGAAATTGGTTGACATAAATGACGACCATGTTATGCAATTACGGCTATGCAGCATTCATGTCTTAACGAACTCCATTTTTCGGTCGTGAAAACCTTGACAATCTGATTTTTCTGAGACGCCAACAAACATACAAACTATCACACGTTCTCATTATCGAGCGCTAGTCCTATCAACTTTTCCGACCGCAAGGATTTCGTCAAGTTATGGTTTCTCCATCTAAGTACTGATATATGAAATTAGATGGCTCTGTAAGAGTTCAAGATCGTAACCCAGGTCGATCTTTCCGGCCACCGGATACTGCAGGAACCGGCAGAAAAGTCGCTGGAAAATCGCCGTATCTTGCAGGAAAACACCGGAAAGCACCGGAACATTGAAGCAGTATTCTGGCCGGAAAATTTTCGGATATTTCCCCGGTGATTTCCGACCGGTTCCTGCCGGAGAGAACAGGAATTGGCTGGAATCTATCGAAAAAAAGTACGAAAATTTTTCGCCTGGAATACTGCTTCCATGTTCCGGTGATTTCCGGTGTTTTCCAGCGGCAACCGGCCCGTACTTCCCGACCTTGGAATATGAGTAAATATACGAGAATGAGATAAAATTTGATCAAGTCCTAAAAATTTCGAGAATGACAAGTCGAAAGCGATATACGATTTAGCACAGATGAGCAACTCACAGCAGATTTGTGAGTAGTAGGGTGTTCATAGGATCGTTCGACGATTCATCTTCCTTCTCAGCAACTGAAGCTTTGTTCTTGTGTCCTACAGAGCCATATACCTGATGAGTGATGTGATGCCTTGAATATCTTGTCTTTTCTTTTATTGATTTGTCAGGGTTAAGTTCTTCAATTATATTGCGTTCTTTTGCTAGATTCTCTTATGAGAAACTACCGCGACTGTTTCCGAGCTTTCGATTACATCAGTTCATTACAAATAAGTCTTAGTACTCTCTAAAAGAAAAGGTGCCATACGGAACCATTTAAGATTTTAGTCAAGGTCTAGAACCTTTTAATGTTCTAGATTTGGGTACCATTTTCAGAAACTTTTTTAAGGTTCTGTCCAAAAAGTCTAAAACCCTTTAAGGTTCCGCATTTCTGTCTGAAACCATTTTAAGTTCTAGACTTTTTCGCTTGAACTTAAAATGGTTCTGAAAATGGTACCGAGAAAAGGTTCCGTATGACACCGTTTTTTTTACAGAGTAAGACTAAGAAAATCGTAGAAGTGTTCATACTGACAACTCTTCATTCGCCAACTATAGCTTAAGTAATGTCACAAAAAAAGCAATCAATTGATTTGATGATTCTAGTATGATAAACAATAATTTGGGTTTCTAGGTTACTCTTTATGAACTTTTTCTATTTTACAATTTAGTAAGGTTATAGATTAAAAATTTGGATAACTCAACGATCGTAATCAGACTATTGCTTTGGCATAGTTTTAGTGGCAATCAATTAGAGTTATAAATGAACGATAATTTCGAACAATTAAAAAGTCTCTATTTTACAACATAACCTTGACCATATCTCAAGGAACCATCTCATTCCTCAACTTCGTTATCTAGTGGTAAGACGCATATTATTCTTTTCTTTTGTTCTTCTGCTGCGCGTACTCCTGCTTTATTTTCCTGCGTTGTGCTTGTACACTTTATGGGAACACTAGAGGAAAATGTAATAGATATAACTACTAATTAGTCAAATAAAAATGATCACAATGATCCAGTTCAGTCAGAACATGGAAACGTAACAAACAAGGACCATAATCTTGATGATTTTCAATACCTATTTCGACAAAATCGAAAAAGAAGAAATGACCAAAACGAGCAGCAGTCTTCAACAAATACTACATATACACCAAAACGTAGAAATTATGAACACACTAATCATTTTTCTAGAGAGAAACAAAACTTCCAAGGTTCAACAACAATATCATCATATTTTAATAATAGTCAGACAATAAATAAACAAATTTATGAGTCAAGTAGTAGAAAACGTAATCTGCGTGAGTCGTTTTCACATTTTCGTATCATGTTAAAAGACGACAATTATCCAACACAAGATATCATCATCATCAAAGAAATGAACAAAACATGTAAATTAAATCTCACTTATGATCGCATGTCAACATCAGAAATTAGCAAAGACTACTTACTTTATTGTAATACATCTGCACAATTCGAATATTTGTTGGATAAAACGAAACAGCCAGATAAAATATGCGACTGCGAATACATTTTTGATATACCTAAAAGAATTCCTTCATCATATTTAGG